GAATAAGAAACTTACAGAAGATATAGAAATCAGATGTACAGTATTGCCCTTATCATGCAAATAATTTTGGATAGGTAATCACTCTTTAGCAAAACAAACATTCATCATATCTTGCACACACCTAGCTTAGAGCTTAGCCATATGCCATGTAATTTCAGATAGAAATATTTCCCATTCGTTTTTCAGATTTCATGATAATATGAACTAATCTGCACAAACTTTTTTTTAAAAAAAAACCTTTAACGCCATCACAAAATTGCACCTGTAGAGAAATGCTTCAATAATTCTAAAACTACTGTAAGAATAAAAAGTTATCAAGAATCCTAAATAAAATGACAACCTGGATCACGTTATAAAATCATTTCCCTTCTGTAGGTAGTATATACATGTGTTGATTTTCCTCTTATTTGAAAGAAGAACTTGAATGCACTTCAGTGCTCCAGAAATGCTGATCTACACAACTGAAGGTCAGTATTTTTAAAAACTAAAGAACACTGGTCAATATACAAGTGAAGAAAAATGGAACCAGATGTCAGTAATCACACCACAGAAATTGCATTTACCCAGAAGTGCTATTTTAAAGCACACTACATGTTGATCTTCTGTTTCTGTGGCAGAATACATTCTTGGCACCCAAGAAGGATTTCAATGCATTAGGCCAGCCTATTTTAAAAAGCAACTAATCTGCAAGTTTTGCTGACATGGCACAGATTGAGAAATCAAATATGGAGTTAAACAAGTTGCTCTTGGCGGATTTTATTATCTCTCCTCCCACCTACTTTTTGTGGTCCAGTCAAGTCCTCTTTGCTTCTAGGTATTCATTATGCTTTTCCCAAGAAAAATCTGTTAACCTTGTCATATACACTAGAAAGCAAATCTGACTGGATGTTCCTTTGTGTGCAAGTCATTCTTGGGGGTACAGTTACAGGACTGTAGTTACAAGAAGGGTGTAGTAAGTTACAGGAGGATGAAGTGGGCATTGATGTTTTCCTGCATTACCCAAATTTCTAGCATTAAAATATAGGTTAGGCATCCACAAAATACATGCATTGAAGTAATAAAAGGAATGTAACACAGCAAATACCAACATTCTAGGTGTTAACAATTTACAGTTTCTCACCCTCTGCAAGGCTAGACATTGAGGGGGCGCACGAAGGAAAAATTCATGTATGACAAATTCTTACACAGGACAATGCTTTATTTTTGCCTAGCCACCCCACAAAACCCCTAAAATGGAGTTGAAAACCAAATTTAAGCAAACTGAATGCAAAGAATGAACCCAAAGAGGCAAAAGGCTTGTAGTATTTCATACTGTTAGGCAAGAATATCAGCAGAGAAAATCTCTACTGCAGACCTACTCAGCACATGACACACATGAACACATAATATGCACACATGCATACAACTGAGGAAAGAGTAAGGAAAAATTGGTACCTTCTACTGCTGTTCCTGCTTTGGAGCAGGTGGCATCTTCTCCAACTTTGCTCATTTTATTGATGGGGACCACCAGTATCAACTCATTTGCAAACACACAATAATAATTAATGTAACATGCCAACAAATTTAATCCCACATATTGGGGCATCTTACCTATGTCTAACTTGTGAAAACCATTAGTCAAATATTGTTTCATCTATATACTGTGTTTCTTCAATTCTAAGGTGCACTTTTATCACTATATAGAGGGAGTCTCCAAGTTATGAACAAAATAGGTTCTGTAAGCTTGTTCTTAAGTTGAATTTTTTGTAAATCAAAGCAGGTGTATTTTTAAAGTGTATCTCTAGCCAAAAATGAGTGTGTGTAAGTTTTTGATAGCATAGGGAAGGGCTAACACCCCTGCGATGTTTGTTTTGCTGTCTGTGCCATTCAGAAGATTTCACCCCACTTTCTGTCCCTGTGATAATTGAATTTTGAGAAATTTGACTTGTTGTGGAAACAAGGATTGATGAGAAAGCTTCAGTGAAGACACCTTTTCACGATGAATGAATTTTCCTTCCGAGGATTAGATTTTTCTCACTTTCTGTTGTCTCACCCCTGTTCTTAACTATAAGTTGTTTGTAAGCCAGATCTTTGTAACTTGGGGACTGCCTATAAAAACCTCTAAAAACAATTGTGGGATAGATAGATAGATAGATAGATAGATAGATAGATAGATAGATAGATAGATAGATAGATAGATAGATAGATAGATAGCGGTACTGAAATTAGTGTGCATCTTACAATCAATGGTGTCTTAGACTCAAACAAACACAGTAATGAAGCTAAACGTATAGCCACATTCCAATTGCATAATTCTCCTGCCGGAAGGACTACAGTCAGTGAAACTACGGGCACACCCACACAGTACCTTTATCCCAGGAGTTCCTGGTTAAAAAATGCAGTTGGCCAAATGACATCCCCTAAAAACACTGGCGGAGTCGCTACAGAACACCAAAAACATGAGATTTTCAGTTGTGGGAATATCCCAGTTCTGACTGAAAATGCAGATATTTGAATCTCTGTATGACCCTACACTCAGAAAACACAGGATTTTAAAGATTGGTTTGTTCCCATGTTATACATGTTGGTTCCTGATTGGTTATGTCCTAAAAACATGGCAACATGGGTTTTTTTAGTGTATATGTCAGGAGCGACTTGAGAAATTGCAAGTCACTTCTAGTATGAGAGAATTGGCCATCTGCAAGGACATTGCCCAGGGGATGCTCAGATGTTTTACCATCCTTGTGGGAGGCTTCTCTCATGTGCCCACATGGGGAGCTGGAGCTGACAGAGGGAGTTCATCTATGCTCTCCCCAGATTTGAATTTCCGACCTGTCGGTCTTCAGTCCTGCTTGCACAAGGGTTTAACCCATTGCGACAGCGGGCACAACAGTTTACTAGAGGGCAAAAACCTTATCCTGGTAAGAGACACTTTGTCTTCCACACGTTTAATGAAGTTGACACACAAACAAACGTTTTGCCATGTAATCAACTTTCCCCCTGGAGAATCCTCCTGGAGAGATAGGGCAGGTTATAAATAAAGTATGTTGTTGTTGTTGTTTCCCCATCTTTTACGATAAAAGCAATTGGAAACAGACATGTGTAACTCAGGAACATCACCCTGTTGTTCCCAGGCACAAATAGACAACCAACCTGTCTGGACAGATGGCCATGCAGCTTCTGAATAATAATAATAATAATAATAATAATAATAATAATAATAATAATAATAATAATGTTTTGTTTCTGGCTTGTCAGTTACTGTTTAATAGTGTAGTCTGACTTTGAAAGAAGTGGTTTTACTCCACAAACTTTGTGTGCAAAAAAACCTTCATTAAATATGTTGAGGATGGAGTTTCTCCTGCCAGGACAGTTTTCTCCCTCTGGTAAACTTTCACCATCTTTTCAGGATAAAAGCAATGAGGAACAGATATGTATGACCCAGGAACAAAACTTGAACAAATCAATGCATATATTCACATCTGCACATGCTGAAATTTCAAGTGGACGTCCCAAGGCGGCCATCTTGCAGGCTTCAAAATCCTGTAACAAAGCAGAAAGTCAGGACATCACAGGCAGAAATCCCAGGACCAACAGGTCTGTGTTTGGACTTGCTCTCAGGTTCCGGGTTTGTTTGTTTGTTTGTTTGGGGGGGAGTTTGCCCCTCATGGAAAACCTGCAATTTGGTGCTGTCTGGAAGCACCCTAGGAAAGAGGAAAATTCCTCATTCAGTATCGGTGTGCTCCCAAATTTTGGGCAAATGGGCTAGGAAACCTGCCAAAGACATTGTAAAGTTGAGTAATGGTGTCTGGGTAGAGGAGAAGATCCATTGCATTTATAGTGATCTTCAAATGACAATCATAGATTAAAAATCAGGAGAACTGGGGGAAAAGCCAGAATCAAATTTTCTATTCACTTCTCCTCTTCATCTTTATCCCTTAAGGATTTTCTTCCTGTTTGTAGTGCAATTTGAAACAAAATGTAGGGCACAGATGAACAAAACATAAGGCTTCCAAAGACAGAATACTAAAGCAATCAACTGTTTGCCATGGAAAAGTAAGTTGACTCCAGCTTCCTTACTCCCAACAGCTTTCAAGTCATTTTCAATTTCTGACAAAATTAAAGAAAACCTATTTCTTTTCCAGATTTGTTCCAAGGTGACTTTCCACTACCCTCCTCTGAAGCTGAGAGGCTGTGGCATGTTCAGGTCACACAGTGGATTTCTATTGCTGAGCAGGAATCCAAACTCTGGTATCCTAGAGTTCTAGGACCCATCTACACTTACCATGTAAGGTAGGATGAACCCAGCAGAGGAGGAATAAATTTAAACATGGAACTGATTACATGGGGAACCCCGGGAATTGGGTTGAGACCTGGATCATGCTTATATGCACCAAAGAGGTTGGCTTCGGCTCAGTTCCAGAATTTGCAGTGTGCACAGCTTCACAGCTATAGAAGATTAACTTTTTTAAAAGGTTTTTAAAAAGGTAATAATGCCCCAATTGCTGCCCATGTCTGTGGGTGTGTCATCTAAACACTGCACTGTCAAGATGTCTTTAAACCGCTTTAGGTGGTTAGTGTAGATGTGCCCTTACTCTAGCAATCAAGCTTCTACTCCATGCCAGCTCTCCAATGGAGCCATGGCTTTTCCAGGCTGATGTCTCAGAGAGGAGAACTTCACCATCAAAGATCCATACTGCCTCTTGGTTTCCTATCTAGCCAGGGATGAACATGTATACAGCTCCTAATTGGATCAAGAAAAGTTTGCCCAAGAGAGAGAGGTAGCTCAGAATTCTAACAGAATTTCACAGCAGCTTTTCACAGCAAAATTTCATAGCAAAATTTAGGAGTCCTACATCAAATATTGATCACTTCTCATAAATTCCTGTATCTATGAAACTCTTATATACTCTAATATGTTCATCTTAAATGTAATAAAAAAAACACCTTTGAGTGGTACGTGTTAATTTTACTGCTCTTGAAAGAACTCCTCTTCTTAAAAAAATTAAAACCACCTCCCATTATATAACCAATATTTTATTTTTATAGTCTATCTTCCATTATGGCATAAGTCTTTTTTTAAAAAAACACCAGTGAAATATACAAATCACACAAGATGAAATATGTACATTAAATGTACAGAACAAAGAGGACATGGTAGATTTACATAGTATCTGAAGAACACAAGTGAAATATTGTACATTAAATAACATTTTAATAACTAGGATCATTACACCCCTCTCTGCTCACAGACAGGTGTTCCATGTAGAGTAAGTGACTGAGCATATTTTAAAGGATTATGGTTTTTGTATAATAAAAACCAAAAGTGACATATTTAATGAACTAGTGCTTTATTTTTTATTATTTTCAAAGTTGACATTGGTTTTCCAACATGAGGAGCCAGGGAAGTAAATATTGCCTTGCATAATAAATTAAGAGCAATCAACATTGGAAAAGATGGAACTAATGAGACAGCTCATAGCTTTGTCAAAAATTTTAAATTTTGAGTAATGCTAAAATGGCATACATTCTCTTTTGCTTTTATTTATTGGGCAGGTTCCAATTACAATGGGACTGTCAAAGCTATAAAATACCACATGAGTGTGTGATAATTGAAAGAACATTCTCTTTTTATGTGAATCAAGGCCACCTGTGAAAGAAACTTTATTTGTTTGTTTATCTGCAATAATGCCCCCACAGGAAAAGAGATTCTAAAACTAACTCCTTAAGCTTTCCATACCTACGGCCCGAGAACATGATAAACACCAGAGTGTGCTCAGAAGATATATTTCACTGAATTGAGCTGGAAGAGCTTCCTTTGAATTTAATAATTTGTGGCTGGCTTAATCTTCATAGATTCCTTGAGTATGAAGAGACCTCGTGGGCTATCCAGTCCAACCCCCTGCCAAGAAGCAGGAAAATCACATTCAAAGCACCCCTGGCAGATGGCCATCCAAATGTGTAATGAAATCCCACAAAAAGAGGCTAGAATCCAACCTAAATAAAACCTAAAAGTGATGTTAGGACATTTGTGCTATGTGCTTAGTCTAAACACAGAAACTGTTCCCAGCAGTAACTTGGGTGGCTATTAATTATTTTTTTCAAAATCCTGTATTTTCTTTTTTAAACGGTTTGAAATACCAGAAACCAGAAGACCAATTTCCCCATATATAAGTAAACTGCTCAAATACAGTCTGAGCAAGTTTGCGCATAGCTGTAATATATTCTATTTGTGCATTAAAACAAAGAACAAAAGAAACACAGGATGATAAAGTGGATACTGCATCATACTTGATTTTGAACTGTAGTAGTCAATTATTAAAATATCAAGCTACTATATCATACTGCACCAGCATTTTCCAAAATTCCACAATGTTAGTTCATTTCCACTTCTGAAAAGGACTTGACTACCCATAACACTTTAAAGACAAAGAATTAGTTCAATTCCGATTATTTTTTCTTTTCTTTAAAAAAAAGAATTTTGCAGATTGCAGGCCCATTAAAAGTAGCATACGTGCTTTAGGAAGTTCTATGTGGTCTTCAATATTCCTTCAAAGCAAGGCAGTAAAATTATGGATTTTTTATGAAATGGTTGTGTTCGAAATTCTGCTTGAATTAATGCTATATAATCAGATATTCTTCCTCCTGGATTTGCTAGATTATTTGAAGAATTGGTCTTACCTCAACCAGTTAACAAGTTTTCCACTTTCCACCGAGACACAGAAAATGCATTATTTCGGTGGGGCTTATGAGAAAAGTGCATCTTCCTCTGCTAAAATTCTTGAAAGGTTAGCTTCTTTGTTGGTATCATCCCCACAATGCAGATTCACAGGTTATCTCAGGCATAAATGAAAAATGCCACGTGAGATTAATATACCTTTAGAGGTAGCCAAGCAACACAGCTCTGGGAATCTTGCGCTTTCACCCATGTTTTTCCAAGTTGCCATGCAACTGATGTTCAGGAAGTTACATTCTAAACCTTCTAGACTGGGATGAACAAACTTCTGCCCCTGGGATCCTTCTAGGGGCAATTGGATGCAAAAAAAAATACCCTGTATCTCTTGGAAATTGGTCCAAATCAATTCAGGTTCTGAAAAATGGTTATTGTATATACTCATATATAAGTCAACCTCGTTTATAAGTTGAGGCCTGGTCTGGGGGCAAAAATTATGGATTTTGATATGATCTGTGAATAGGTCAAGGGCCATTCTGTAGAGAGAGGAAAGCACCAATGTCACCTCAGGGCCCTTCCATATAGCCATACAATTCAGATTATCAAGGCAGATAATCCACAATATCAGCTGTGAAATGGGTTATCTGAATTCATTCTGCCATATAATCCAGTTCAATGTGGATTTTATACAGCTATGTGGAAGAGGCCTTAGGGCCTGCTGCCATTTCCCTGTCCAGGCATTCAAAAAGGTCAGAAGCAGTACCATGATGGAGTGAGTAGAAGGGTTGGACTAAGCTCTTGTCTTTCGCCACTCTACTCAAAGAAGGAGATGGTTCCTTTTTTATATAATGAAAGTTAAGATAAAGTACTCACATTGATCCATGGACAAGTTGACCCAAGTTTTAGAGGTTGGTTTTCTTTACTAAAATTTCTAAACTTATATATGAGTATACAGTGTATGCTTTTGATGTTATAACAGTGCAATGAGGGTCTAGCAGATGGGTATCTGCCACTCCCAGAGACTTTCTCAGGGGAAACAAGTATGGTCCAGGAAGTTTGGAGGAGTCAAGGGCTGCAAAAACAGCACATGGCCCCAGAACCGCAGTTTGCTCAGCCCTAAAACATGTATCTAGGATGATGGTATGCCTGGTTGTTTCTTTTTGATCAAAAGGGCTAGGAAAGAATTATCACACATCCGTCACCAAGTCTGCATGGTTCATGTTCCAATCTAAAGCATGGCACATGGATATATCATCTATTGCATATGCACTATGTCACAGAATCATTGGGTTGGAAGAAACTACAAGGGCCATCCTGCCCAGCCTCCTCATGAGACTAAATAGAAATGGGACAAATTTCCCCTCAAGCTTCTCTGTCTTTTCATTTTAAAGTTGTATTTCCAATTGTGTAAAATAAATATTATCTCAGGTATTTCCCCATTATAGAAAAAATATATATAAAACTATGCACAGTCTGAGCTGGATGCAGCAAGGATTCCCATCACTTCTCTTTGCACATTTTTTTTAATATATATATATATAAACAGGAAAAGCGACCCATTGGGCTCTATAAATAAGAGTGGAGATTATCTCAGGGCAATCCCATCCCCTTCCCCCTGCTGGTAGAACAACCACTGCCACCCATTCCCATCTATTTGCAGACAAACTGATCCACAATCTCTGTGCACTTCTTGCATTTTACATAGCAGCACCAATGGAACTTGCAGTGACAGCGCTCCGTCTGCACGGTCTTGAATTGGTCATAGCCTCGGCCACAGCACATGAGTTCACAGCCATCCATGCCTTCTGAAGTCTTGTTGCACAGCCGCCCCTGAGTGCCCAGGGAGCCAGTGCTCTCATTGCGCACACAATAGTCAGGACTAGGATCAATGTATACCAGGTCATGGATAGTTGGTGCATTGAAGCGGCTATTCACTAGCACCAACTTGCCCCGTTGATGGATTTTCATAGCTGCTGCACTGTCATATTTCTCCTTCAAAGCATCTCCAACCTTGCGAAAGTCAGCCAGTTGTAGCCAACAGGTCTTCAGACTGCAAGATCCAGATACGCCATGACATTTGCAGGCCACATCTGCCAAGCTGTACACAGTCTGCAGGAATCAGAAAGAGGAAGAAGTTGAGTACATCTCTTGCAAACATTACTGACACATACAAGAGTACAAATTTCAGCATAGCTCACTCCCCAACAAGAGAACAATTTCAACTGACAACATCTTCTTTCCAAGCTCAGTATTGACACTCTGGCAAAACATAGCTATGCTCTGAGGTGTCTTATTGGCAGACTGCAAAATTGTGAGGAATGAATTTTTAACACACAATTACTTTGTATCTGTTCACTGTTCTTGAAAAGGGTTCTTAACTAGGCACAATGGGGAATCTGGATAGGTCAATTTGTTGCCCTGGGATTTCTTGATGAAGGGTGGGAGTAAAGATATTTTAAATAATAAATGAAAAATGTGTCCATCTGGGATTTTTTGTTTCTTTGTATTTTTTATTGGGCTAATTTAATCATTCTTCTAATATAAATAACTCGGATACAGGAAAGCTAGGACAAGTTAGTCTGGGTGATATCTCCCTATCAAACAGAGAAAACATGTTTATAACATATCCATTACTGAACATACATGAGCTGTTACATATGGGGATAATATTGAAATGCTGGCTGTAAATGGCTAGAATAAAACAAATAAGCACAATTGTCAAGTCGAAACTGAAACAGAGTCATGTTTACTGTTTATTATTCTTACAATATTTCTACCACACTCATGCCGCTATAAATCATGACATGGAATACCATTTGTATACAGTGGCTCACTGCTATTGACAGATTATCATTATTATCATTTATTACATAGCACCATTGTTGTACATAGTGTTTTCATTAGTTTGGTTGGTGGCATTTATATGATTAAAGTGTTTAAGCCAGGCTGCACTCCCCTGTTTGGAGGAACTGCTGACTATAATTAAGTGTACCCCATTTGCAGATTTAATGTTTGCTGATTTGATCGTTTGTGGATTTAGGATTTCATCCAACTCTCTAAGCATTTCTATACACTTAAAACATGGAGCCCATCAGATGATACACAACCATTCCATGAGCTCCCCATTTGAGTCCGTTTCTTAAGTGTACAAGGATTTTAAAGACATTTAGGAATTGACTCTAGATGGTTCACTGCACATAGAGACAGGTTAAAATGGCAAAATGTAGGTGTAATGGGGATTGTCTTCTTTTTCTGTGTTCTTTCTGTTTTGTGGGCAATCATTAAGTGCATCCCAAAGACAGTTATTGCCACTAAGGACAGCAGGCAGAGCAGTAAATAATTATATTCATTTTTTTTAATTAACGAGTGATCACAATGCCGAAATCATGTTACTTTGTTATATAAGAATTGAGAAGTTCACTTTTTTAAAAAAACACGAGGGGAAGAAACTGGAAGGAGTTTGTACTTTTCTATGTGATGGCAAAGGAAATCGAAGATTTCTGTAGAAACAGGAGAAGGAAAACATGTGTGAAGGGGGTAAGAAAGTTCTCCAGGTCATTTGGAAACAAAATGACATGAAAAGCCAAGCTAAGATGATTTCCCCCTATTCACCCCACCCATGGGATGAAGTCTATAGTATCTAAGGATCTCTAAGTCCCCCAGCACAACTCTCTGGTCATCTTCTGCAGGTCGTGCTGGAGGACCTATAGATTGCTACACTTTTCTAGGCATTTGTAGATTCTCCATTGCATGTCTGTGGTCAGCTTCTACCAGAATTAGAGGGTGAATTTCTGATCAATCGAAATGGTAACCTACAATCTAATACTGGTTTCAAGTTTACAGGCCTTCATGGCTGATTTCATGTTTCAAATGCTGTTGCAAAAATAGCAATATGAAGATACCCTGTTCTGAAGTTTTGTATGTCTACATCAGACTATTATAAAAAATGCTTCCATACTTTGAGTGTTGCCAGTCAAAAGACATTGATCAAAGACAACTTGCTCTCCACCTCTTTTCTTTTTGAAGACAGAAAAAAGATGAAAGATGCGATATCTGGATTCCCACAACACCCAGTAAAATGAGGAAAGACAATTTCATAATAAAGGTCTCATCTGGAAGTGTCTCTAGTCCATGTTCACTCACAAACCTGCACTATTAAAACAAATGGCCAGCTCTTGTGAATAGGAAAACTCTCTATAATTATAGAAACTCCTGGTCACGTAAGACTCCAAAGTACTGTGTTTGCTGTGAATTGTTTTGAGTCTCAGTTCTATGAAGTAATGTATGTCTCATAATCAGTCTCTTCACAATATATATGCTTAGTTCACAACATCCAGGCCTACTTTAGGCCCTTTTGAGTAGTTGCACCTTATAAAGTGAGTTTCTCTTCCCCTATCAGCAGTGCTGGATTTAGGACAAATGAGGCCCTGTGCTAGTTAAGTTATGACACCCCTTACTTGGGCCCTGAAAGAGGTAGGCCTGGTAGGGCACAATCACATAGACCATCAACTCTATCATCATGTCTGGAATCACTCTGAAATAGAACATCTTCAAATTTAGAATTGCACCAAATAAGCTAAATCCATAGGGGGAAAAAATCTGGCAGGAAGATGGACCTCCCTGGCCCATGAGGCCCTGTGCTTAAGCACACTGATGCACAATGGTAAATCGGGGACTGCCTATCAGCCATATTGGCAAACTACCTCCTTTCTTTTGGGAGGTAAATGAAAATGTATTAATTATATAGTGCCTTTTCTGTGCTGCTCACCTCTTATATGAAAGCCCTAAATACATGCCAGTTAACTATCTGCTCTGCCCACCCTCCATGCTTTGCTTTTGTAACTGCTGATTATAGCTTTGAAAATCACTGTCATTTTAACTGATACTGGACTAAAAATCCAACTCGAGTTCCAACTTGAACAACCCCACTATGGCTGGTTCTACACTGACCATCTAATGCAGTGTAGAACCAGCTTGAATCATGGCTCTTTCCAGACATAGCAGAAACCTGGGAGGAAGTAGGTTAAAATAGCCCGTCCCCACCCCCCACCCCAAACTCCAGGCTTCCCCTTGAGAGGTGGCTGTGGGGATTGACCCCAGGACTGTGGAAGCAGACCCAAGAGTCAATCCTCACAACTTTGGCACCTGGAAAAAATCTAGACCTTAGCTTAAGGTTTGGATCTGGCGGCATATAAGTTCAAATAATTAATTAATTAATGTTGATGGAACTGAGGCTCACCACACTGTTACCTTTTAGCATTGGGAGGCAGCAGTAAATTGGGACACAACTATCAACCTTCAAGTGGGTAATTGCCTAGGGTATCACTGCCCTGTAAGCAGAAGCTAATGTAGTCTTTGGGGATATCATTTGTTCAGCTACTATACATGTCAACACTGATGGCTCATCGCTCTTCCCTCCTCCTGCTGTCTCTTCCCAGCTCAGAATGGTTAATAGTAGGTCACGTCCACCTTCCTCTCTCCCATGCCATGGTGAGTGGTCAGTTTTGTTCAACAACTGGGGCAGAAGCTCACATTCAAGCTATGAAGCACACAGTTTCTTAAAAGTTTATGACCTACCTAGCTTGTGGGATTAGGCAAACAGTGATTAAAAGGGAAATTTGAAAGAGGAGCTTGGGGGGGGGGGGGGKAGCAGACAACAGAACCAGAACAGAAGACACACAAAGAAAGAAAAAAAACTAGAAACAGCTGAGCCCACATGAAAKCCTCTGACTCCCAGCCTTAAAAAATTGCTGTTGTGGTTGCATGCTTTCAAGCCATTTCCAATCTATGGATTAAAGCAAGCCTATATCAAAGTTCTCTTGGGATGATTTGTTCAGTGGGGTTGCATTCAGGCCTGTAGCTGGGGGGGGGGGGGGTTTAGGGGTTCAACCCCCCCCTCAAATTTTTCAGGTTAAAAAAAAACCTGGTTTACACATGAATTTTAACTAGTTAACAAAATCCCCATGCTAAGTCTGTGAGACCCAAAAAATTAAGAGTCCCTCCAGAACTGCAAGCACTATCTCAAGCAAATACTGACAATTTATTCACACTGTCATTACTTGCAGCAATAGCCGATGTAGTGAAGCAACCAAGTTGGAGGGGGGGTGTTGGATGCTCTCATTAAGAAGGCCAGACTTGGTGGAGGTGGTTGATAGGGGCAGAGCTCCAGACTATTGAAGGCTGCTCTGCCCCCTGCTGTGCTCTTTGCTTCAACGTGAGCTAGGAGGCAGGTTTCAACTCCCCCCACCCCAAAATTTTCAACCCTCCTCGATTTTTTTTTTCTGGCTACGGCCCTGGTTGCATTTGCTTTTCTCTGAGGCTGAAAGAATGTGACAATTAATAGATCTATACAAAGTGGCCTTATCTACAGTTTTCAAAAGTCAGTCTAATCAATAACACTTGACCAGTCAGTGACTGGCTTGACAATAATAGACTTGCATCAGATTTTTCCTCTTGCTTTCTCTCCTTCTCCATCCCACTCAAAATGCATGCTGCTCCTAATGCAGATTTTCCACTGTCCATTCAGCCAGCTCCCTCCCACACCAGTCTCCATGTATGGCTGAGTGACTCCATCCTAAAAAGAAAACCCCCAAACACCTCTGGGTGGGGGACAGCCTGACACCGCAATATCCTCTTTCTAAAGCCTTGGCAATGAGACCTTGATAATTTACCCTGTATAAATAGACATGAGTCAGTGTTGACACAGTCCCAAAAATCCTGGGGTCTGACACATTAGGTGGATGCTGAATGCCACTTCCACCCAGCATTAAAAAGTGTGTGTGAAAAAGTTTGTGTGCCTGTGTGTGCGCGCATGTGTGTGAGAGAGTGTGTCTGAGGGAGGGGGGAAGTTCAAGCTCTGCCAAATACTATTGTAAGAAGGCAGCTCAAAGGGGGTCATAGTGGGAAACAACTCAAAGCCAATGTCAGCAACCATGAAAAGTAATTTTGTCTTCTGTTTAGCAACAAATTGGCCTTCCCAATACCTTCAGATGCCTTCTTCTCACATTTAAATGCTATTAATTTTCAATTATCCTTCATTTTAATTCATGTCAAAACACAAGTGCAAATTCTCCAGCCGACTACTCCTGGCACCATCAATTCTAGGAAAATAATGACTTTGGCTGTTTCCATTTCAGGGCAATAAAACCAAGTTTACACTCGTTGGTTTAAAAGATTCTGAAGATTTAAAAAGCCATAAAAACCAACTTCTATCACAGAAGGGCATTTTTTTCCTAATAATACAGAGGGGGTTGGTGGGTTTTTTTTTCACAACCTTACAAGGAAGAGTGAGAATGCCCCCCCCTCCCAAAAAAAAGAAAATAACATTTTTCTCCACCAAACACAGCAATTCTTTCACTCTTTCCAAAGAAAACTGGATTGGTTGGAAATATAAACTCATAAAATTCTATTCTGCAGAAAATTCACTGTAACTTGCACAATTTTATTAGATCAACTTGGGGGGGGGTGAGGGGGGGGGATTATACCTTCAGCCCCATGTGGAGGAAGAAATCAAGAAATGGCCAATCAAATATTATCATTCAGCTGGTGAGTTCTTTCATCGGCTTTTGCTCTTTATCACTCCAAAATGAACATTTTCCCTTCTGGGTTCTTGTAAGTTTTTTAGGCTGTATAGCCATGTTCCAGAAGCATTCTCTCCTGATGTTTCACCTGAACCTCTGAGGATGCCTGCCATAGATGCAGGTGAAATGTCAGGAGAGAATGCTTCTGGAACATGGCCATACAGCCTGAAAAATTTACAGCAATCCAGTGATTTAGGCCATGAAAGCCTTCATCAATACAATTTTTCTTCTTTATCTAAAGAGAAGTATTGCAGTGTTCTTGTTCTCTTTCATACCCACTCACTCACTTTCACATGCTATTTCTGAGATCACATACTAGGTCTTAGAAAAAAACTAATTTGGAATCAAATTACAAAGGACAGCCATACACAGGTGTGAGGAAAACAATGGAACTTAGGGACAATACAGCAGCAGGAATAGGTTGGCAGAAATGGTGGTAGGAAAATAAAAAATAATGGTGGGAAAATAAAACTTGATGGTGATACTTACTCTCCTTCCTGCTTCATTGTTGTGAAGGTTCATTAAGATCCTAGCACTCTCATATGACCCTTTCTGGTATATTCTCTCTCGCTCACGGGCATCCACAAACTCCTTGGCAAAGCGGTAGCCATAATCAATGTTGTCCCCGCAGCCGCCCCATAGCCAGTCCCGGGGGAGATCTTTTGGCCGGGCAGCCCGGCTGCAGCCACAGGAAGACAGCTCCCCCTCTCTGCAGGCCCGGCTCATGGCATTAACAACCCCAGCAGCACTGACTGCATAGGTGAAAGCGGTCTCCCGGCTGCCTGCGAAAATGAAGAGAGAGTGGGGTTCAGTGTAAGGACCAGGCATGTACATTTATTATTCCTTATAGACAAAGATATATTACCGTTAAAAATGAGATTTTCCCCAGGGTGATTAATGCACATTCAAAAAGGCAAACTGTGTGATGCGGACTTGCACCACATTTGTTGGTATTAGATAAAGCTCAAATAGGAAATGACACAAAACTCCTCCTGTGTGGTAAGCCAATTTTGACAGGAGCTACTTAAAAAGAAATTCGCCATCTTGACATCTCTAGTAAGTAAATTAATCTCATAAGAAAGGCTTGTAGGAGAGATGAGATGCTTCTGACCTGGATATCAGCTCTCTGCATTGAAGGAGAAAAATAGCTAAAGCCTTCTCTAGAAGTGTACTCTACATGCACTTAACATACTTTAAAGATCTGACATAGATGTTTAAGAGAAACTTTTATGCTATTAGCTGTGCAGCAGTTCAAGTTGACCATTTAATGAATATCCTAAAGGGAACTCAGTTCTTCATGCGTTATCTGGATCCAATTTGCCCCCAACTAATTCAGTTCCACTGCTTTGAACTTAACAAAATCCACAAGCCACATGCCCTAGTTCCCTCAAGAAGTTAGCTAAATAATTCTGCCCTTATCTATAACAGTATCAAGGGAAGTTTTCTCCACCCAACAAGACAGTTTAGCTGTACTATGGCCCATGTCATCACACAGCAGGTATTCCAAATCAGGGTAGGGGAAACCCTATGAACTTAATATTTGGTTGAATTTTCTAAACCAAGGGTCTTTTAAAGTTTTATAAAATTTCTAAAAGATGGGTGTCAAAAAACAATTCTACATGTTTTACTTGGTTGAAAATGAGTTTATTATCCAAGACTCCAATTTCATAGAGAGCATGGGTAATCCTCGATATTATTTCCACTGATAAATCTTCCACTAGATTTTTATATATCACATCACTTATTTGCATACAGTAGACTCTCAGTTAACTGGAAGTCAAACAACTGAAAATCTCAAGCAATCAGCAAAAATGCTTTTAATTTTTAAAAGGCTATTTTTATAATGCAGTAAAATAGTAAAACTGTGTTACATTAAGTTAGGTTTGTATTTATTTCATTTTAATTACTGCATTTCAATATTATGTCAATACAGAGTTTATAGTATGATATAGTATGAGATATAGTATTAATTATATTAATAACAACTCTCAAGCAACCAGAAGCTACATTTATCCAGCATCTATCAATCCCAATGGGTGCTAGTTAACTGAGAGTCCATAGCAGGCATCCTCAAACTGCGGCCCTTCAGCTGTTTGGGCCTCCAGCTCCCAGAATTCCTGACAACTGAACAAGCTCTTTAGGGCTTCTGGGGGTTGAGGCCCAAACAGCTGGAGGGCCGCAGTTTGAGGATGCCTGGTCTATAGTATTCATAGGGCTGTGCAGTCAGCTTTTTCTGTGATCATACTTATCCCAAAACAATCATTGCTCCTATCACAAAAGTCTGATTAATTTGAACACTGCACAACAAACACTAAAAAAAACTGTAATTCTTATTCAGATATAATTCACAGTGAATTAATAGCTCTGTCCCTCTAATCCACTTTCCCACACACATCTCTACCATATATGCCTTACTGTCATTTAGGAATATACCACATTTATATTCTTCCCCAAACATATATTTTCAAATATTCCTTTCATGGGTAGATGGAAGCAAAAGCACAAAGGTGGACTTCTTCCCCTCCCACCCCCCTGCAAAAAAGAAAAAAAAAGAAAAATAAAGAAAGAGATGGAAGACATCTATTTGCAAAGGAGAGGAAAACAGGTTGTTTAGCCTGAAACACATTTTGCAGGCTGTGGTGAAAGACTCTGAAAACATTTAAGGAGAGTCTGGTCAAGCCTGGCATTGCTAGAAGTCTCACTGCCAGCAAAGGTTTCTTTAGCATGCTGCCTCCCTGTTCAAGACAAAAATAGGATTCTCCTGTAACAATCTTACATATCAGCCTGAATATCGAAATCATTCAGATGTGTTGGAATATGACAACAATTGTCTCCTATTTGGAGGGCACCCTGTCATTCTGTATTACCAACATCATTCATTTCCACTAAGGGTTGTTCTGAAGGGGAAAATAAAAGGGTTTTCTAGCACTATACAAAGTGATGTGTAGCAATAAGGTCGGCTCTTTAGGTGCCACTGATTTACAGGGGATTGAAGTGACACTTATGATACAATGTTATATTTACTTAGAAAGCTTTCCCAACTTGAAACAGAAATCCCATTTTTACTGTCGGAGCAGTAGAATTTTTCCCATTCCCAGCAAGTTCAGTGACGGGCACAATTTAAAAAAAAAGTCAGTGGTCATTTAATGAACCATTGGAATGTAATTTGCTCTATTACTTCCACCCTTGGGGATGGGGGGAGCATACTTCTTTAACATTGTGCAACGAACTTTCCAGAATATTTCCAAAGCAAGGAAGGTGCGTGCTTAACAGTTTTAACCAGCAATATTGTGGAACACTGGATTGTCTTTCACAGAACCGGATGCCAACATTTACATTGGATACAGATTATCATTAGTTACCCTGGGGATAAATGATTTGCCATTTTAGCCATGAAAAGAACCATTCAGAACTATTCAAATTAACTTCATTTTCCTGCTAACTTAATTTCAGGCCAACAATGGTCAGGAATGTTCTATTTGGTGAGAAACATCAAACATGTATAATCTTATCATTCTTCCATGTCAAATCAACAAACTATTGCTAGGGCATGGGTATCATGAATCCCTCCTTATGTTGTTGGACTTAACTCCCATCAGTCCTAGTCCATACTGTCAAAAGTGAGGAATGTTAGGAACTGTAGTCCAACAATATCTGAGGAGCTGCACTTTTGTTCATCCTTTATTTTAAGCTTAAGTTCCCAAACTTTGGTCCTCCCAGTGTTTTGGACTTCAATTCCTAGAGGCTCCTATCAATTCATCCAATATTCAGGAATTCTATGAGGTGAAGTCCAAAATACCCGAAGGACCATAGTTTTGGGAACCACTGCCCTAGACTCACAGTGGTTCTCAACCTGTGGGTCCCCAGGTGTTTGGGCCTACATCTCCCAGAAATCCCAGACAGTTTACCGGCTGTTAGGATTACTGGGAGTTGAAGGCCAAAACATCTGGGAACCCACAGGTTGAGAACCACTAGTGCTAGAGAAATGTATGGATCTAGTGACATAGTCCAGCTGCCTCTGTTTCTGTAGTAACTGCACTGCCAGTGGATTTATAGCGCTGCAACCCCAGGCAGTGGCATCTAGTGCCAAGACCTTGCTCCTCATTCAAGAGAAATACCAGCCAAGTGCCTGGATTATTCAGAGCAGCTGGGACAACCATGAAATGACAGCACATACTTGTTCTCAATGAATACGCTTTTCAGGATTCTTAAGAGCTGGATATTCACATTATGCTCACTGCTATTTTCAGTTAGTCCAAGTGACCACTTATGCAGCTCATATTAAATCAAGTAAATCCAGGGGTGTTATGGGAGGGGGAGGAATACATACAGGGGAGTTTTGTGAGGAGGCTTGAAATCAATGGGGACCCACTTTAATATGTATGGTTCTAAATTGTGCATAAAGAGATCGTGACAACCTAGACATCAGAGAACCTTTTGCCTCATTTGCCTATTTTTTATTTGCTTTTCAAAATGAGCTAGTGATAACCTAACCAGTTATTTACAACGTTCCAGTTCTACAGCATCTATAATGCATGCCTATAAGAAAATGCTGATGTCTTCAAAAAATAAAAGCTAGTGTTTCCATTTAGTGCAATTTTTAAGTCATGGAAAATGTTTAATCTGTGATTTCTGTAAAGCTTATTTTTACATAAAATTAACTTTCAGGGTAAATGCGGCTTAACAACATCCCTCCAAGCAACGCAGAAGCCTTCTAATTCACAAATGAAGTTACCTTTAATCTAATTTAAAAAGCCAATCCAATCCTTTCCTATCCTGTTTCAAAAGAGGGGTTTAAAATTAGATTTAGGTCTCAACATTTTGCAACGCTACTATGTTTAAAGTATGCATTCTATGGCAGGGGGAAAGAGGTACAGATGTAGACCTGCAGATGCCATAATTATAATGGGAGGGTGAACAATCCATCAATCATCCCACCGACAATGCCTTTGAGCCCAATCCTATACACAGGAAATGTCAGGAATCAGCTCTTTTAAAATTTAACCAGGGGCAGTATTTGTGCTGATGTGAGCTCTCCAGCAAATGGGAAGCTCTGAAAGGAAACTGAGGGAAGATCCAGTCTCAGCACATAAGGACTGGTTGCTTGCTGCAAGGAGGAGGTTTAATTAACAACAATTATTTTAATACATGCAACACCTATGTGTATTCTCACTGAGAGTACACTGTCTACAAATGCCAACATATTTTGCTTCTAAATTTAAACTGCCTTTTGCACGCATTAGTTTTTTGGTCTTCTTCCTACAGCAGTGGTGCTCAACCTGTGGGTCCCCAGATGTTTTGGCCTTCAACTCCCAGAAATCCTAACAGCTGGCAAACTTGTCGAAGGCTTTCATGGCTGGAATCACTGGGTTGTTGTAGGGTTTTTGGGGGGTTATATAGCCATGTTCTAGAGGCATTCTCTCATGACGTTTCGCCTGCATCCATGGCAAGCATCCTCAGAGGTAATGAGGTCTACCTCTGAGGATGCTTGCCATAGAAGCAGGCGAAACATCAGGAGAGAATGCCTCTAGAACATGGCCATATAGCCCAAAAAAAACCTACAACAACCCAGCTGGTAAACTGTCTGGGATTTCTGGGAGTTGTAGGCCAAAACACCTGGGGACCCACAGGTTGAGAACAACTGTTCTATAGAGATGTATGCTACCATTTGAATATATTTACTAGATAGTAGACTGCACTGACTTAGTTCTGGTTAAATATACCAGAATGCTATGAAAGAAGAATGGACTATATGGAAAAAATAATGGTGGGGGTGGACTGGAAGAAAAAAAAACCTCAAATATTGTAATACACAGTTTTAGAATTACAGATATAAAACTATTCTTGTAATGGCCAAATTCCACAATTTATTTCTAGTTTCAGTTCCAATTTAGGTACTAATTTATTTCAAGTCACACTGGGACAACATAGGAATGCTACTCTTCTGTTTGCACATCACGAATAGTCTCACATGTGCTGTCTTGACAAAAAAAACAACCCTGGGTAAGAGAATTACAGTTTCCCCCTTCTTGACAGGCTTCAAAGCCTATAAAAAACCTGGCATGTTTTCATGGCACACAACATGTTGTAAGTACCACACAGATACACTCCAGGGCACTTTCCTACCTATCTGCATGACTCTGCCAAAAACAGAGTTGTTATCCACAGTGCTACAATTCCACCTTCGATGGCGAAACTGATACTGGCATTCCTTGATGCCCGTCTTTGCTCCCTCGCCAATGTACTGCATGTGGTCCTGGTATAAGTGGCAGAGTTTCTTTTGTCCTTGAGAGAGGCCTGTCAATTGGCTGCACAGCGGCTGGGCCCCAATGATGTACACCTCCGGCATCTGAACTGGGTTCATTGGATTCATGTGGTTCATACCCAGAGACCTACAGAAAGAGAGAAGGGTTAGCAAGGGGCAGGCTCAAAAACAGCAGCAATCGGGTGCAGAGGCAGCCTAGATTCAGTCCTAAAACAAATTCCAGCAATGTATTGGGAAAGATTGGGCAAAATGTGACAGGCAGAAAATCTTCCATGTTGTTTAAGGGTCAAAAAGTTAACACAAACCACATGCTTCAAGTTATGTTCAAAAGAGACATCATATGTCTGTGCTTTCAAGTCCCCTGTTGACTTATCATGGAATTCAGAGGATTTTTGTATGCAAGAAATACTCAGAGGTAGTTTTCCCAGTTCTTTCCCCTGAAATATAGCCCACAGCATCTGGTAGTCATTGGTGGTCTCCCATCCAAGTATTAACCAGGGCTGAACTTGCTTAGCTTTCAAGATCAGATGGGATCTGCTGTCTTTAGGGTATTTAAACCAAGTCATACAGCTATCTCAATCTGATGTTGGCCCATATTTCATAGTCTCCCAGCAGATATTTTAAGAGCATAGTACAAGGACCCTGAGATGCTTCCCCAGTTTTTAAAACTGAGAGACAAGCAGAAGGCCCGTTCTTGTGTGAATTCTTAAAAGACAATAATGATCTACAGCTGAAGGATTACCCAACCATTCTGAGTCCTAGTTTAAGAGAAAGGTGGGATATAAATGATGATGATAATGATGATGCAGGTTTGGTGTCAATAAAGAGAAAATGATGAAAACTTTAAAGTTCACAACCAAAATTCATGGAGGAGTGAATTCACCTAGTGAGCGAGCGATAAAAACCTCAACATGTGTGCTTTGGAGTGGTAGCTGTTTTCAGTTTAAATGTAAAATCTTAAAGTAGAAGCTAAAACTTTTGTGTACAGAAGTAAATCCCATTCTGGATTGTTGTGAGTTTTCCAGACTGTATGATCATGTTCCAGAAGCATTATCTCCTGACGTTTCATCCACATCTATGACTGGCAGGGGTTGAGAGGTCTATTAATGCTAATCAAGGTGGCAAATTGCAACATTCACAAGTACCTCTAGCAGATAAGAGTTCTTTCTCAAACCCTGGACATTCCAGGGATGCATACACCTCACTTAGTTTCCAACAGGCCCTTCAACCTCTGAGGATGTCTGCCATAGATGTGGGTGAAACGTCAGGAGAGAATGCTTCTGGAGCATGGCCAGACAGCCCAGGAAACTCACAGCAACTCAGTGATTCCAGCCATGAAAGCCTTCGACAACAAATCCCATTCTGTTGAAAGGAGCTTCCTCCCAACTCAATGGGTTTCAGGACTATGCAGCCTCATAGGCTGAATTATTGTAAAATGAAACATTTCCGCCTGTGTCTTAGAGATGTTCCAGCATGCTGCTTTTGTGCCCACCTGTTTACAACAAGAGCTGGGCATTCCTCAGCATGAGCTCACGCTTTATTTCCTCCCGACAGGGCTTAATTTATCCCAAAACGGGTGCTTACACGACTGCAGAAATAAATGCACAGGAGTCCCCCAGATCCGTTTTACCCCCCAACTAAAGAAGGAGCGAAAAAGTGGATCCCCAGTGTAGGCTTGTTGAGAGAGGGAGCCTGAGAAATTTCCCCCGGAGCAAGACGGGCTTTGCTCATTCGATGTGGCGGATGAGCAGGAGGGGAGAAGAGCAATGGAGAAGTATGCTTACCACCAAGAGCTGGCTTCTATCACCACTTGGATCAGGGAAGAAAAGATGGCCAGCGCCAAGAAGAGAGCCTTGGGCGGCATGGCTCCCGTCCGCCAAGCTCCACGGTGGACTCGCGCTGCCACGGACCTCTGGAAGGGAGGAAAGAGAGGTTGGCGGTGGCTGCTGGGGCGCTTCAACCGAGGCCGAGCCAACCCGGGCCTCCTTGGGCGGCCCTCCCCTCCCCTCCCCTCCCCTAAGGCTGCCTGCCAGGAGAAAAGCGGGGGAGAGCCGAGCTCGGCCAGCCCCGGCCTTCCTCTTCCTCTCCTCCTCCTCCTCCTCCCTCGATGGCGCCCAGGACCTTCGCCGCCCCCTGACCAGGCGGAGGGCCGAGCAACAAGTGGCGCAGCCAGGCCGAGCTGCGGGGGAGGCGAAGGGAGGGAAGCACATCAATGGCTCCTTTGCTCCCTTATCATCCCCGCCCCGCCCTGTCCCTCCCTCGCTCCTTCCTTCCCTGGAAACGGAGCCCGCGCCCTGCGGGTCCCCTCCACCCGCCCCACCACTGGAGAGGGCCCCTACCTCCTTCCTCACCAAGGCCCCAAAGCAGGGGGGAGGAGGAGGAAAAGAGAGAGAGAGGCGCTCTTGGCCTCCAGCCGTCGGAGATCCTCTGCTCTGTGTGTGTGTGTGGGGGGGGGGGTCAGTTGCGAGAGAAGGGATGACGCGCCCACACACTCGCAGCCCCCTTCCTCCCCGATCTCTGTGGGGAATCAGACCTTTGGGGGGCCGCCCACCAGGGTGGAGGAAAGGGCCCGGGAGGCGACGAGCGCTATGCCGGGATGAGCAAGCGGGAAATGATACCCTGGCAGCGATTCGGGACTAAAGGGGCTTCCCCACAGTTCCCGTCCACCAAGGAGTCAAAGAGAGAAGAGGAGTGGGGGGGGGGGGAGGCTGGATAACGGGACCCCGAAAGCTTCCTTTCCCGCGATCGGGGATGGGATGCCAAAGGGGCTCATGTACGTTGTAGAATCAATGCCGTTCAAAACTTTGTGTGTGTGTCAGAAGCGACTTGAGAAACTGCAAGTCGCTTCTGGTGCGAGAGAATTGGTCATCTGTAAGGACATTGCCATGGGGTCTTCCGGATGTTTGATGTTTTACCATCCTTGTGGGGGGCTTCTCTGATGTCTGTTGAACTGCGTGGATTCTTAGGAGGGATCGTTTGGAGAAAGAGACCAAGCTTGTGAAGTGCAACTCCCACGACCCCATTGCACTAGCCAGGGCAGGCACAGCGGAGTCCAGCTGCATGGGCAGGAGCGCCCAAAGGAGGGGGAAGGGGCCAGGCGAGGAGTGGGGGAGGGAGAGAAGTTCCCTCACGGGTGGCCTTCTCGCTGTCTGCAGAAAAAGCCAGCCATCTCGGGTCTCCACTACATCTCCACCAGGACCGCCGACGGCCTTATAGGATCCTTTCCCGACTCCTCTTGTCCGACTAATACGATTCAGTTAGGTTGGGGGGGGGGGGCAGTAGAAAAAGGCTTGCCGGCGATGTATAATCCGTTTAGTCTATCTCGTCGAAAGGGCTCAGATACGCGCAAATGTGCTCTTTAAATCGGCGCAGAAACAGAACCAAAGCGTGGCTTCAAAAGCCTCCTATGAGACGGCATTCGCAGTCTGGGATCCCCCCGCCCCGCCTCGTCCAGAGAAGCAACCTCCCGTCGAGTTCAGTGGGGCTTTCTCTTGAGGAAACGCCCAGAAACGGGTCGTCCTTTCCTACAGTCTGAACCTGACTGCCTCGGAAACGCAAGGAGGGATCCCTCAGGACGCATACAAAAGCAACCCGCCGCTCTCCCTGCGCGCCACACGCCGGCACTTTCTTCTTCTCCTTCCTCTTCTTCCTTCTTCTCCTTCTTCCTCCTCTTCTTCTTCCAGAGCTGATTTCGCCCCCATTTCAACCCAACTCGTTGCCCGAGGGAACGGCCTCCTTCCCGTCGAGGTCTGGTTTGAGAAGCTGCTGCCGTCGGGCAAATGGCTTCAGGCGGGGCGTTTTCAGGCTCCTCTGAAGTAATGGATATGCGCGGGGCTTTCTTCCCTCTTCTGAGCCCAGCTCTCCCCAGGGCTGCCCCGACACTGTAGGAGGAATGTAGCTGGGCACCACTTGAACTGCCAGGGCTGAAGGCTACGGGACCCGAGGAGTTGTAGTTTGGTGGGTCACCAGCACTTCGACACGAGACCGCTGAAGACCCACGATTCCATATGGATTCCATAACACCGAGCATTGGCAGTGAAAGTGGTGTCATTCTACAGTGTAGACCAGGCCTGGGCCAACTTGGGCCCTTCAAGGGTTTTGGACTTCAACTCCCACCATTCCTCACAGCCTCAGGCCCCTTCCTTCCCCCCCTCAGCCGCTTAAGCGAAAGGGCCTGAGGCTGTGAGGAATGGTGGGAGTTGAAGTCCAAAACCCTTGGAGGCCCAAGCTGGCCCATGCTTGGTGTAGAAGATTCACCCCGGGATGAGCATCTCTAGAAGCCGCAGCGTTTCTTTCAGAGGCAAGAGACCTGCCACTTCATCACAATAGAGAAAAAAATCACTTAAAATCTGGTGCCTTCCTCCTGCAAAAATCTGGGGTTTGTAGTTTAGTAAGGACGTTAAAGGCTCCTCCTTACGCTACAAACCCCATAATTCTGCAGAGAAACTGGATTTTAAGTGGATTTTTTCTCTAGTGTGATGTCCAAACGAAGGCCGGGAAACAAAAGGCCTGGCTTGTCCTCCTCTCTGTTGGTCCATATCGACACTGACGTTTAAATGCAGTTCGAAAGTAGTCTCAAACTGCGGCAGCCTGACAGCAAACGTCCACGAACAAAAGCCCTTCAAACTACACAAAACTACACAAAAGCCACAAAACTAGTTCCAGGATTTGCTCTGCACAGCGGAACCGCTTTCTTCAACTGCATTGACTGCTCAGTGCCTGCCTTGTGTGCGCCTGGAGGCGGTGCCCGAGAGGGATGGAGAGCAGCAGTCCTGGCTTCTCTTGGACGGGGGGCGCGGAGTTCCCTCTCCCAACTCTGCCTGTCCCGTCCCTGGATCAGGGCCCCTCTCCGTGCGCCCCCCTCCCCGAAAGGAAATCCGATGTGTCCGTGACACAAGGCTGCAGGAATTCGGGGGAACCGGCCCGAGGGCTTTGCGCGCCAGCGGACGGCGCCCGGTTTATTTCCCCAGCAGTCTGAAGCGCCGGGGAGGAATGCGGAGAGTTCATGCCCCATAAAGCCGTCCACGCTCCACTACATCGCGAAGAAGAAGCGGGAGGGAGGGAGCGAGGCAGGCGGGCGGCAAGGAGCTCACCGGGGAGAGGAGGAGGAGGAAGGCGCACCTACACTAGCCGCTTAATGCAGTTCCAAACTGGTGTGGAAGAAAGTGGTTTCGCTGAGCAGATGAGCTCATAAGAAATCCTGGAACCAGTTTGAGACCCGAATGGCGATTCCACAAAGATGCACATGAAGGCTTTCTTTCCCGCACTTTTGCGGGCGTTTGTTGTGTGGCTAGCTTCGAACTACGTTAAGTGGTCAGTGCAGATGGGACCTCGACCTGGGAGGTCACGCAGACCTCCTTCTGATACAGTCAATAGGACATGAGGACAATGCCACGGTCATCCCCTTTGACTTCTCCATCCATGGGGCCGGCAGGAGTTGGCCATTAGGAGGCAGCGCCCCTCTACCCAAAAAGCTTGGTCCAACAACTACTACTGGCTGGAATGGAGCCCGAGCCACCAAGGAACAAGACAAGGGAGGGGGGGCGCAAAGGGGGGGGGGTCAATGGGGTGTTGAACTAGGATTGTGCAGGGCCAGGATTTAAATCCCCAGCCGGCCATAGAAACCCACAGGGTGAGCTTGGTCAAGTCCCACTCAGAGGCAGGCCAAGGGGCAAGAAAACCCTGCCTTGGGATCTCCAGACAGACTTTGAAGGCACACAACAAGTTCAGGATGACAACAGACCTCACAACTTCTGAGGATGCCTGCCACAGATGCAGGCGAAATGTCAGGAGAGAATGCTTCTAGAACATGGCCATATAGCCCGCAAAACTTACAATAACCCAGTGATTCAGGCCATGAAAGCCTTCGATAATACGATGACAACAGCTGTTCTGGGACCTTTTCTGGGTTTCCCTGTGGTGTGACTTCGCGTCTCCTCTCCTGTGTGTTCTGTGTGTGTGGTGAAATTTGGGGGTTCTCTGAGACCATGGAATGGGTTTGGAGGAAGGCGCCTATCTGAGCAGATCAAGGTTAGTTCCCGATGGGGAAAAGAGCAGAGCAAGCACATACCCGGTGTAGATCAGCCACGGGCCAACTTGGGCCCTCCAGGTGTTTTGGACTTCACAATTGGACCCACAATTCCTAACAGCCTTAACCCTTTCCTTTCCCCCCTCACCCGCAATATCTCCAGAACCTGGCTGTGTGCATCTACACCAGGTATGGGCAAACTTCGGCCTTCAAGGTGTTTTTGGACTTCAACTCCCACAATTCCTAAGAGCCTCAGGCCCTTTCCTTTCCTCCCTCCGCCGCTTAAGCCCTCCAGTTGTTTTTGGACTTCAACTTAAGCAGCTGAAGGGGAAAAGGAATGGGCCTGAGGCCAGGAATTGTGGGAGTTGGAGTACAAAACATCTGGGGGGCAGTAGATATAATACAGCTGGAATCTACTTTAACCACTATGGCTCAATGCTATGAAACCATGGGCGTTATATCTTTGTGAGGCACCAGGACTATTTGGCAGAGGTTAAAGACCTTGTAAAGCTATCAGTCCCAGGATCTCATAGCACTGAATAAAATCCCACATGGTCTGCTTTGAACTGGGTTATATGCCAGTGTGGACTCAGATATCCCAGTTCAAAGCAGATATTGTGGGATTTTCTGTCTTGACGTTCTAAGGGTTATATGGCTGTTTGGAAAGGCCCTAAGCCATAGCAGTTAAATGGGGGTCAAACTGCATTCATCTTACACTGTAGATGTAGAAGGCATGCAGTTTGGCCCCCGTTTCACGGCCCTGGCTCCATGCTATGGGATCCTGTGTTCGACAATCCCTTCCCTCTTGGCTAGAGACACCGCAGCCCTCTTTGAAAGGGGAAGCCATTCCGCGCCTTGGCCAACAGGGGGCAGCCTCGGCCGCGAAACGAAAGCCTTCCTAGCCACGGACTTCTCCGCTCTCCCCGCTTTTTTATTGGGGGGGGGGGGAGCTCCGTCTGTATTAACTTCCACTCTTTTCTTAGGATTGTCGGGCTCATCCTAACCTAGGCCTTCAGAGGCGCAACCCAAACGATCCCACGTCGATGCCGATGCTTTTATAGCTCGAAAAGAGCGTCCCGGGACTTTTGGGCGCCTCGGAGTCCAATCGAGGGGACGGAGAGCCACCTCAAAGCGCGCCAAGGAGCCAAGGAGGGGAGCTGTGCTTCTTTCCCGGAGTGGCAAAGCCCCGCAGGCCCCCTCCTCCAAAGGGAAGAAAGGGCGCTTTTGTGCGCGCTCGCCTGCGCCCTTGGCGAAAGAATAACGCTGGGATCATTAAGGCGAAGGAAACGAGATAAGAGGGGGGGCCGGGGAAGCCTGGGGGGCATCTGGCTTTATGGCGGCCCTTTGCACACTGGCTCTACCTTGAATTGAGGAGGAGGCGGGCAAAGAGCGGGAGAATCCCCCCTTCGACTCGGGGGGGGGGGGAGGGCTGTGTAAGGGCCGAAATGGGGGAGAAGGAGGGCTTGGAGGCCCCCAAAGGCTCCCCAGCCATTTCTTCGCAGCCCAGCTCATCTTGTGTTTGTCTGCAGACGGAAAATTAAAGTAGAGAACGAAAAAGGAAGGACAAGTCGCTCCGAGGGTTTTATGGCCTTCGCCTTTTAAACAAGCTCCTCGAAAGCCTGGAGGCAGAAGAAAACGGGTCGCTTTCCTCTCTTTATGTTGTTTCAAATTAGACCCACTCGAAGTGTTTTCTTTCCCTCCCGCCTTCCACAGACACACACACACCTTCCCCAAACAAAAAAAAGTTTTTGGTTCCTGGGTGAAGCTGAACTTTCGCTGACCCCGCGACTGAAAGTAATTTAGCAGACAATTGACAATTAAAAACAAACAGGCAACTCGGGGGGGATTTGGGGAAGCGTCCGAAGAAGCAGCCGGGATCCAAAGGGAAGGAAGAGAGGGAGAGGGAAAGTGCTCCGCTTCCCTCCTTTTTGGAAAAAGAAAAAAGAGTCAGGGTGACAATATGCAGCGATGGAGAGCAAAATTTGAGCGAGGGGAATGGAGGAGGAGGAAGAGGAGGAGGAGAAACCCGTCCAGGTTTTGCGCTTTGGCGCTTGGCCAACTTCCCTTAAAGGGACAGGCCTTTTCTCCGTGGCTGCCCGGACGAAGAAAAGGGGGGGGGGGGAGAGAAAGAGAGAGCGTTCATCACTCTAAAGAATGAATCCACTTTAAATTCGTTTTCTGCCTCCTGCAGAATTCTGGGATTTACAGTATAGGGAGAAGGCCTCAATAAACTTGAAACTCTGCAGGACGCAGCAACCGGATTTAAAGTGGATTCATTCTCTAGTGTGATGAGACCCAGAAGGAAGAAAGTCCGGGATCGCCCTCCTCACACCGGGCAGGGCTTCCTCGTAATTCCAACTATCCAAGGAAAGCCATTGCCCGCCCGTCCCCGTCCCCATTTCAGAGGCTTTGGGGTGGGTGGGTGAGTGCGGAGAGAATGGGCAAACCCCCTTCGGGAGGCGAGAAGTCCATCAGAAAAGTTTCGCCAACGGAGAGAAGGAAGAGATGCCCAGGGATTGAAAGCGAGGAGGGAAGAAAAGCTGGGCTCTCGTCTTCCCCTCCCTTCCCTCCCGGCTCGGTTTCACCTTAAACTAAATATTTTGAGAAATCCGAGCCCCTTTGTGGAGCCCCCCTCTTCTTCTCGGCTGAGCGAGTTTTCAAACCTCTCTCGAGCCGATCTCCCCCAAACAGGACCCTCTTTGGAGGAAATCCCGCCAGCCCTCTTTCTCTATTGGGTCAGCCAGGACCCTCTTTGGAGGGAGCCCTCCCTCCCTCCCGATACAGCCGCTTCCCAATGCACTCACCTCCATTGTTGACGCGGAAAGGGGTCCAAAGGGGGGCGACGACGACGACTGGGGAGAGGGTGAAGCGGGCCGTCAGAAAGCGGGGCGCTGGAGGAGTCTCGGAGTAGGAATAAGAATAATAATCCAAGCCAGGGGAGCCCCGATCCTGCCAGGGGAAAGGGCGGCGGCGGCGATCCGGGCCCGGCGAAGGTCCATCAGCCAAAGGCGACGGGGCGAAGCGTGGGCTCGCTCTGGGCCTTCCTCCTCCTCTTCTTCCTGGGCTCTCTCTCTCTCTCTCTCTCTCTCTCTCTCTCAGTCTCGGGCTTCAGGTGACCTCGTTGGTCGCAGCTCTTTCCATCGCCAGCCGAGCGAGCGACTCCGGGATTCAAAGCGCCAGGACGCAGCGGCGGAGCTTGACCCAATCCATGGCCCAAACGGTGCCCCTTCCCTTCCTCTTCTTCTCCTTCTCGCCTTCCACTACATTCTTTTCCTTCCCTTCTTTCCCTCTTTCTTCTCCTTCTCCAGTGCCGCGCTCCTGCCTCCGCCGCTCCCTCGAAGTGTAAGAAAAGTTGCGGAGGCGACGGAGAGAGAAGGAGGGAGGAAGGGGAGGGGGAGAAAGAGAGAGAGAGAGAGAGCCCGGGGGGGGGGGGGGAGGCACGCATGCGCACTACCGCCACCTACAGCCAGCTTTTTAAGGGAGCCTCTCGAACGGCGCGCGGCTTTGTTGGTGCTCGACGCTCACCAGGAAGGGTGCGTCTGCTGCAAGCATGATCAAACTTTGTCCCTCCAGGTGTTTTGGACTTCAACTCCCACAATTCCTGGCCTCAGGACCCTTCCTTTTTCCCCTCAGCCGCTTCAGCGGCTGAGGGGAAAAGGAAAGGGCCCGAGGCCAGGAATTTTGGGAGTTGAAGTCCAAAACACCTGGAGGGACAAAGTTTGTCCATGTCTGCTCTACTGTGTGACACTACTTTCACTGCTATAGTTCCATGGGGAGTTTTACAAGGTTTTCACCCTTCTCTGCCCAAGAGTGCCTGTGCCTCAACAAACTACAACTCCTATAATGTCAGAATGGAGCCATAGCAGCTCAAGCGGTCGAATTGCATTGATTTGATAGCGTCCAATGTATCCCTAGCCTACCTGACAGCCTCGTTGCTCTCCTTAGAATAAGAGGGGCTACTATCAATCTCTAGGAGGAAATCGGTCTGGAGATGAATCACCCGCTCCGTGAGTTCCGGCGTTCAGGTTCACGTCTAGGGAGGAGAAGCGGATCTGAACTCACCCCGAAGTGACTCCCCCTAGCTGCGGGTTAGTGATCCCCATCACTATTAGGAAGTCAGCTCATTGCCAGAAGGTTTCCATCATATGTATTGTCGAAGGTTTTCATGGCCGGAATCACTGGGTTGCTGTGAGTTTTCCGGGCTGGATGTTCATGTTCCAGAAGCATTCTCTCCTGACGTTTCGCCTACATCTATGGCAGGCATCCTCAGAGGTTGTGAGGTTTCCCATCAGAGACCATACAACCACTGAGGATGCTTGCCATAGATGCAGGCGAAACCTCAGGTGAGAATGCTTCTAGAACATGGCCATATAGCCCGAAAAACGTACAACAACCCAGTTACTCATCATACTTTATTTTAATTGATCTCTATCGACCTCCCAGTCTGTGGGAAGTACCCTGCCAATTCGTTTGCCCTCTTTCTTTAGGTGGCTTCACAAACAAGCCGAGCCTGAGGTTAGAAATATCCCCCCCCCCAAAAAAACCCCACTGACGTTTTTCTATGTTATTTTATTTTAAAACAACCCAGGATTGTGTCAATTCCCCCATTTCCTTCTAAAACGGTGATGGACACGAATTATCAGGGGTTGTGTGGACTGTCGGGTTCTCCCAGGGTATGTTTATTCAGATCTTAGCTCCACATTTCTCAGAGACGCTTACAATGAATTATGGGCGTCTAGGCGTGCGCCTACACTGCAGTTTGGCATTGCTTTAACTGCCACGGCTCAACGATATGGAATCAGGGGAGAGATCGTTTTCCAAGACCTTCTCTTCCCCTTCCCTTCCCTTCCCCTTCACATAGCACCCCTCTTCCTCTTCTCTTCTCTTCTCTTCTCTTCTCTTCTCTTCTCTTCTCTTCTCTTCTCTTCTCTCTTCTCTGGGAGAGAGTGCTATTGCTTCACATCTCTCAGGATTCCATAGCATTGAGTCATGGTGGTAAAAGTGGTATCAAAGTGCATTCGTGATCAGGCCTGGGCCAACTTGGGCCCTCCAGATGTTTTGGACTTCAACTCCTATCATTCCTAACAGCCTCACGTCCCTTCCTTTTCCCCCCCAGTCGCTTAAGCGGCTGAGGGGGGAAAGGAAAGGGCCTGAGGCTGTTAGGAATTCTGGGAGTTGAAGTCCAAAACACCTGGAGGGCCCAAGTTGGGCCAGGCCTGGTGTAGATGCAAACTAGCTTTGCTTGGGATTTGTCCCCAACGACTCCAAATGAAGAGGTTTTGGTCCCACCTATTTTAGGCTGGTGTCCAAATGGGCGGTCTTTCAAGCCCTTAGAGCAAAAACACAGTATTTAGAGTCTTCCCCCATTCCCGGAAATCATGTTACAATACAACCCACATAGAACGGCCCTGATGTGTATTTCCTTAGAGGTCTGGATCGTTATGAACAGTACTATTTTAAATTCCGTACATCAACAGCACCGCCTCTTGCAGAATGGACGTCCCTTGCCTTCCTTTTTTATGATTTGAAATCCCCCTTCTTCTGAGAATGGATTCAATGAGTTTGGTTGTAATTTAAAGCCCTCTGGGGACGCCTGGAACTCCTAGAAGAGGTGACGTAAAGGCATCTGCACTGTGGAATCAAAGCAGTTTGACACCACATTAAATGTAATGGCTCAATGCTATGGACTCATGGGAGTTGTAGTTTAACTAGGGCTTGAGCCTTCTCTGCCCAAAAGTGCTGATAGCTCACTAAAATACAGCTCCCACGATTCCATAGCCTTGAACCAGGGCAGTTAAAATAGTGCCAAGCTGCATTCATTCTTGGTTAAAGGTCTAGGGGTGCAATATGACTGCACCCCTAGACTTAAACCAAAAAATGTGACCAAATGCTGAAATTCGTTGAGAAAGCTTGCCTGGTGTGCTCTGTGCAGTTTGGTTGGACAACAAAGATATAGCTGGGTTGCTGTGAGTTTTCCGGGCTGCATGGTCATGTTGCAGAAGCATTCTCTCCTGAAGTTTCACCAACATCTATGACAGGCATTCTCAGAGGTTGTGAGGTCTGTTGGAAGCTAGGCAAGTGAGGTTTATATATCTGTGGAATATCCAGGGTGGGAGAAATAACTCTCGTCTGCTTGAGGTACACGTGAATGCTGCAAATGGCCACTTTGATTAGCATCGAATGGCCTTGCAGCTTCAATGTCTGGCTGGTTGCTGCTTGGGAGAATCCTTTGTTGGGAGGCAGGCCCGTAGCCAGGATTTTGTTTCGGGGGGGGGGGTGAGTTTGGTTCGGGGGGGGCTGAGTCTGAGTGAAAGAGGGTCTACCCTAGCAAACCTTTTGTATCATTACCCCAATACCCCCATGCATATGGGATATATTGAGCATGGTGATCAGATCATGATATGAATAAACATAACAGTTTAAATAATGCACCAGTAAGGCCTTCTCGCGAACCACCATGAGAATTTCGAGGGGGGGGGAGGCTGAAGCCCCCAAGCCCCCCCCCCCCCCCGCTACATGGCTGTTGGGAGGTGTTATCTGTCCCCGATTGATTCTTGTCTGGAATTCCCCTGTTTAGAGTTTTTTAAATACCGGTAGCCCGATTTTCTTGTTTTCTGAGTGTTGTTCTTTATTTCCTATCCTAATTTTGGAGTTTTAAAATACTTGCAGCCAGATTTTGTTCATTTTCATGGTTCCGTCCTTTCTGTTGAGATTGTCCACATGCTTGTGGATTTCAATGGCTTCTCTGTGTAGCCTGACATGGTGGCTGTTAGCGTGGTCCAGCATTTCTGTGTCCTTAAATAATATGCTGTATCCAGGTTGGTTCATCAGGTGCTCTGCTATGGCTGACCCTTTTCTGGCTCTGTCTGGGTGTCTTCAATCGCCTGTAGGCTTATGGCGACTCCGCTATGGATTTCATAGCGTTCTCTTAGGCAAGGGATACTCATAGGTGGCCTTCTCAGGTTCTTCCTGGTATTTTCCGGCGGTCTCTCATCTAAGTACTAACCAGGGCTGACTCTGCTTAGTTTCCAAGATCAGACGGAGCTGGCGCCTTTAGGGAAAGAGGAGGAGGAGGAGGAGGACTCCAACCCCTGGCAGGAGGAGAGCCCGTCTTGGCCGTGTGCGTTTCCGTTGTCAACTTGGCAGGTTGTTGACAGGCCACGGTCGGTTAAACCAGGCAGGACCCGAGAGAAAAGGCGGCTGCGGGCTTTTGTCCTCCTTGGCCTTTGGGAGGGAGGCCTCCTCCGCCGGGACCGCCCCTCCCTCTTCCTCTCTTTCAAGCTCTCTTACCTCTATCCCCCCTTCCCCCTCTTTCAAGGTTCAAACGTGGAAGAAAAGGGACGAAACTTCACAAGATCTCTCTCTATAGCCAGCCAGAGGAGCCAGGGGTGGAGCAGTCTGCCGTTCTGGAGCCCCTGCCTCCCTCCACAATGCATTTATTCCCACCAAAGACTAAGGCTGGAGCCACACTGCATGTGGACCATTTCAACAGAAAGGAGAAAACCATGAACATGAACAGAATCTGACTATCAGTATTAAAAAATTAAAATCAGGACAGTATATAAAGATATATAAAGGACAGTATATAAACTATATATTTAAGTTGTATTATAATACTTGTAATTATGAGCTGCTTTGAGTCTCCATATGGAGAGAGAAGGCACGATAAAAACATAATAATAATAATAATAATAATAATAATAATAATAATATCCAGTTTCAGAATGCAGATTAACTGCATTGAACTGAATTATGAGTCTGTACTGCCCTATAATCCAGTTCAATGCAGTCAATCTGCATTCTGAAACTAGATTATAGGACAGTGTAGATCTAGCCTAAAGTCACTCAGTGCTTTTGATTCCTCCAAAGGTATTGCTTTAAAAACTGGAATACAATCATGTTGGGCTTCTTGACAGGGGGTTGGACTAGATCAGGGGTCCTCAAACTAAGGCCCGGGGGCCGGATGCGGCCCTCCAAGGTCATTTACCCGGCCCTTACTCAGGGTCAACCTAAGCATGAAACTACTTGAAAGCACACAATAACAACAACAATCCTATCTCATTAGCCAAAAGCAGGCCCACACTTTCCATTGAAATACTAACAAATTTATATTTGTTAAAATTGTTCTTAATTTTAATTATTGTATTGTTCTTAAATGTTTTTGCACTATAAATAAGATATGTGCAGTGTGCATAGGAATTCATTCATGTTTGTTTTTTTTAACTATAATCCGGCCCGCCAACAGTTTGAGGGACTGTGACCTGGCCCCCTGTTTAAAAAGTTTGAGGACCCCTGGACTAGATGGTCTCTTCCAGGTCTCTTCCAGTTCTATGAGTCTATGATTCTTTGAGAGCTAAGGAAGCGTGACATTTCCTGTCCAAGAGAGCA